GAAGTTGGGGCCGTAGTCACTCTCCCTGAATCCGTTGGGGTTTTTGAAGCCATTAAAGGCACTGATTTCGGTGTTGGAGAATTTGGGCGCCTTCCCGGACCGAGATGGCTTCGGCGGAGGTCCTGGGAGGTCATTTACGAACATCGGAGGTTGGCCTTTGTTATCATATTGTTTTGCGGGAGGTCTGTTCTCTGAGCTCTTCGATTTAGACGGTCTCTTGTCCTCATAACGGGTGGGAGATCGACTCTCTTGTCGCCTACTGTTGTTGCTCTTTTGACGGGCGTACTTTTCTTCCTTTTCGAGATGAATTTCGGGGTACTTCCACCTGAGCGTCCACTCGTTCTCGCCCTGGCTCTCAAACCACTGGTCAAGGCGGTCTTCCATGCTGCGGTTCTTACGTCGGTTCATCTCGGCCGTAATGAGTTCATTCACACGGTTTCGGCGCTCAACCTCGTGAGGCGTGTACTTTGTGAAGGTGCGCCCACTTATGTGCACCTCCTTCTCCTCCAGCGGCACCAGGAGGTCCATGGAGCCCCGGCGTCGAGGTGAGTAAGGAAGCGATGGCTGTTGAGTAGTCTGACTTTGTTTCCCCATCTGGAAGCTTTCACTGCGCTTGATTCCTCGCCGGCGGCCCTCTCGAGACTCGCGCTCGTTGTTGCTGCGGTCGATGAACGTCTCGTGGCGTCGGAGGGGTTTCTCGGGACGCACGAAGCCGAAAGACTTCGTGGACTCCGTCTCGATGGTGCGAGGGCTCGGGAGAGGTTGGTTCCTGAGAAGCGTCTCTGTGTCGCTCGTCTCGGCAGGTGATTCGAACTCGAGGTAAAGAACTGGGTCTCGCTGGTTGCTGCCTACCTGGGAGCTCCTAGAGCGGGACCTCGCAGGTAAATGGGGCACTCTTGTTGGTACAATTTCTAATTCCTCTGTCATGGCATGCTCTGGACTGGCTCGGTCTTCAAAGCTTTCTTTTAGCAGAGGATTCTCTTTAACGGTTTCCTGAGAAGCCAAACTCAAAGAAGATTCAGCACTGCGTAACACATTCTCAAGACCAGACATTACTGCTTCTACTTCCTTCTCACTCACATCTTCACGTTTATCTGATCTTCTATCCCTCCTTTCACCACTCCTTTCTTCTCGTTTATCCCTCCTCTCATTACTTCCCTTCTCATCTCTCTTGTCTGTCCTATCATCATCCTTCTTATTTTCTGTCCTCTGGTCTTTTCTTTCCTCCTGTGGGTCAGTCATCATGACGAGGTTCTCATAGTGTCGAACAGACTCGCGCACAGAGGGACTGTCTGAGGAACTATCCTGGCTGTCTCCCGACTCCTGGCTGCCCTTTGTCTCCGTCGAACTCTGGCTCTTTCCGGAGCCACGGGAGCCGTGAGTATTATTTTTGTCTATGAAGATCCTGTCATTAGCGACGGTAATAGCTTCATAAACCACGACGTCTCGCTCATAATCGAGGTCACCCTCCTCGCTGCCGCTACGGGCTTTATCATTGGGCGATCCACTTCGGCTTTTATTTTGAGATGATCCTCGGAGCGGGACGTTCATGTACTCCGGGTCCTTCCTTTCTCCTCCTGGACTGGAGGAGGTGGAGGACGAAGATGACAGAGACGATGTCGAGGACGAGAATGGGCTGGTTGTGCCTGCAGGAGGGCTGGGAGCCTTTCTCTTAGTACTGGGGGGCGAGTCTGATTTGGACGAAGGAGTGCTGAACGCGCAGGAGTTCTTGCTACTAGGCCTGCTGTCGACCTGAATAGGGCTTGTAGACTTCCGTCCTTCTCTGCTGTGTCCGTTGACAGGTGAACTGATGGCCGGTGGGGCCTCATCGGGGATTTGCTGGCGCTCCGCCTGGGGACTATACTGCTTTGTAGATTTTGACATTTCTTGATTTGCCACTTTTGTATCTTGAGGAGATCTACTCCTGTCAAACTGAAGGTCTGCAACAGGTGAGGGGGACTTCTTGTCATTGCGGAAAGTCATTTCAATGTGAGTCATGGGCATGGGCTCGTTAAACCTATCTCCTGAAGAACGTCGCTTTCTCCCCTCTGGTTCTTGGTTTGGCGACGTCCTGCTCGAGTTGCTGCCGTCTCGCCTGTGATCCCCGTGTCCTATAGGCGAGTCGTTAGAACTCCTTCCTGGGGACGTCACGCGAGGCTCAGGCGAGGTCATGGAAGAGGAGGACTGGTGTCGACTCCTGTTAACGGCGTCGGTGAGGTTGACGCTGGCACAGACTGGAACAGACGGCCAGAGAGTAATGGTTTCATCTGACGTGGTTGACGCTTTGCTCCTGGTCGAGGCCGACGACGAGGTTGACTTGGAGTCGCCGTTCCAGATGGGCGTCAGCGACCTGTCTTCTCCCTTGCTGAAAATTACCGAGTCGGTCTCGGTGACGCAGGTCCTCATCCCATCGTTCCTAGAGGGCGAAACCGACCCGTGGCGTCTCATCATCGTGTTCCTGATGGTGTTGTGTAGGGAGGAGAGGTCCGAGTCGCTGACGGAGGTACAGAGAGGCGCTGCGGGAGGCCGTTTCTGCTCCACTGACGGGCTCTGGTAAGGGTACGTAGCGTTCCTCCCTCTCCGAGTCTTCCTCAAAAAGGGGCGGCTCGCGGGGAGGCCGTTCTGCTCCTATAAAGACGGCGCACATTGTGGGTGGTATTATGATATATAACGGCGAATAGTGCCTTTTAACTACATTCCTGAACAGGGAAGTAAATAAAACAAGCAGGACTGAAGAGCTCCAAACGAAAAAAGAGGGATTACTACATTAATGGTACTTGATATAACAATCATCGCAATTATATATAAAAATCTCAAATTCAGAAATTTGCTGATTGTATTATAAACATATAACTGATTAGAATACCTTTAAATATGATAATAATCAAAATCTAATTATACTGACGCCTACCAATGATGATAATATATCTATTCATCCTTCAAATTTAATTATATATAATACTTTACAGAAATCTCCCGCTTTTGAAAGCTGCACTCCTTTACTCATCTTTCCTTCCCCTTCCAGCGTCAGCCTGCCGCCTCCCCTTTGTCTCTTACCCAGCCGGCCGCCCTCCACTCACCATGTTAGCTTCCCTTAGCTTCTTCAGTTCCTCTTGAAGATTGTTGTTGGAGTTCTTGAGCCCGACGATCTCAGACTCAAAGGAGGAGACGTCGATGTAAGCTTCGTTCCAGCGGCTGAGTTCGATCAGGGCCTGCTGCTGGAGGGAGTCCGACCCGCTGCGTTCGATCATCTGTCGAGGGAGAGGGATTTTATTATCATTGTTTTTCTTTATTTGTCATCGAAGTGGGGGTATAGATTCATTGTTGTTATTACTATGTTACTATCAGTAGTGGGAGTGATAGTATTCGTTTAAGAAATGGTAGTACTAATGAGTAGTACCAGTATTATAAATTGTTGTGGTATTATTAGTTGTTGTGCCTTATAGTTAGTTATTGATTTCCTTAGCGAGTAATATGTTTACTCTATCAGCAGAATGACCATATACTGAGATAAATAAATAGATATAACCATGTGTATTGGACAAGAATAGAAAAACCCTGAATGAGAATGGATATCTTCACAAAACAAGAAATTAAATCTTATTCTGTGAAGTTTTCCATTTTCATTCATATCTTTTCTACGGATAGATGTAGGTATAAGTATATATATGCACGTGTGTGAGAGAGAGAGAGAGAGAGAGAGAGAGAGAGAGAGAGAGAGAGAGAGAGAGAGAGAGAGAGAGAGAGAGAGAGAGAGAAGAGAGAGAGAGAGAGAGAGAGAGAACACACAACGATAAACGACAGAAGCCGCAACGCACCAGAATTTGTGCGACTTCCTACCTTCCTCAAGATCCCTGAGTCAAAGCCGGCTTCTGCAAGCTCCTCCTGCAGGTAAATCCTCTCCCGCAGTGTCTTGGTGGAAACCACGAGGGCGTTGAGAAACCTGAGGCCCCAAACCTGAAAGCTGAAATGGCGAAAAAATTAGTACTGTGTGGCGTGCTCTGCATTAGATATTTGAAATATTATTCAGAATGGAATATACCGATTCCTGTTAATACCTCTGAAGTTTGATTTCGTTTGTCCATATTCTGTGTCACCTTGTTATAATGCGATGGATTCATGGATTTAGATGCGCCATAAGATGTTCAGATTTTGTAGCTCGTGTTCAGACTAATGATACATCAATAACTATAGTAGTAGCAATAACAACAAAAGTAGTTTTGAATACGACACATTTTAATAAACAAGATATCAAAAAGAATATACATAACGTAATCCTTCCCTAAAAATAACCCCGAATGTCCCTGAATATACAAAGAGAAATAAAATCCTAAAACACACAAAAAACACCAACATCACGCAGGCATCACAAACCTTGGGTGTGGATGGGAGAGCATCATAGACACAAGGAATTTACACTTGACCGGCTCGGCGAAACGTAGCCTCAGAGTCGCCAGGGCCTCCACCACCTGACGATGCCCTTGCGGCGAAGTGAGGCAGGCCCGCGTCAGGAGCTGTTGGAAGGGGGTAAGGGGATTAGAGAGAGTCGTCCAGGTGGTAGATATTTCTGTGTGTAGATAGTAGATAGGTGGTAGATATTTCCGTGTGTAGATAGTAGATAGGTGGTAGATATTTCTGTGTGTAGATAGTAGATAGGTGGTAGATATTTCTGTGTGTAGATAGATAGGTGGTAGATATTTCTGTGTGTAGATAGATAGGTGGTAGACATTTCTGCACGGTAGGTCACTAGTTTATGAAGAGGTAGTCAAATGAATGGGCAGTTAATAAGTAAAATACCGTTCATAAGAGAACCATTTGATCCATAAATACTTAAAAGGTCCACTGAAGAACCAAAGCACCATGACCCCTTTTCCCAGCCTCTCATTCATCCATCCTCATATTACCCCCCCCAAAAAAAAAAAAAAAATAATAATAATAATAATAATAATAATAATAATAATAATAATAATAATAATAATAATAATAATAATAATAATAAT